AAAATTTTTTTACAGATTTTTTTTCTTATTAAGGTGGTTTCTTCGCGAAATATTTCACCAAAATTATGAAATTTTTTTTGTCATAAGATAAATACATCAATAGCTCACCGACAAAATTTCAGATGCGATTCACCTCACCTTTTTCAAGTAATTAATTTTTGAAATTGCTTCTTTTGCATAGAAAAGTATATCGATGGTCTAATTAGCAATTTATCTAACTTTTTATTTTTTAAAGAGTGATTTTTTAACAATTTGATGTAGCCATAATCGAATTATAAATTATTTCAATGATTCAAACCTAAATATTATATCTCTATTAGATAATGATGATATTAAATGGTTTTTTTAAGTGATAATAAATTTTGAACTAATTGTTTTTTTTGTACAAATAGAAGATTCTCTAAAATGGAGTTAGACAATTTGCTAATTAGAACGTCGATATGGACAGTTGATAAAGTTAGTTTGAAATTTTTCGTAACGCACTAGTGATGCAACTAGATTTCATATTAATTTATCGGCTGTCCATAACTTAACGTTTAAAAAAGCAATTTTAAAAATTAATCACTCAGAAACGGTGCGGTGAATTGATCTAAAATTTTAGTAGTGAGCTACTGATGTATTTGGTAATATATGAATTTCACTAAGAAAGTTCTTCCAAAACTTGGTATTTTCTATAACTTTTCAAATTTTTCCAAAATGGTAGTCTTTTAATTTCTATTTTCTTTCTTAAATTGAAAAAAAAAATTTTTTTATACTGAGCTTATTTCTTAATACACCATTCTAGAAATTCACAAGGAAAATCAAGGCATTATAAAAATTGACATAAAAAACAAAAATATAGAAAAAAAAAATTGAAAAAAAGTAGAAGTCAACTTGGAATAATTTTTTGCACTTTTTTTTGTGGAAACTACATTCACAAACAAAGAAAATCAAAAACGATCGAATCACAGTAGTTTTGAAAGATTTGAGTTGAGTAAAGAATTTGATTATATCGATCAGAGATAATATAATACTCTTGAATCAAGTGCCAGTAGTTATCAATTGAAGATATTGGTCTCTTGAGTCAAGGCGATGTCGAGATTCATGACAAGATATTTTTAAAGCGTGACAACAGGTTGTCTTCAAAATAAGTTTCTCTAAAAAATTATTCTTCTTGAATCAAGATAATTTTTTTATGAGTTTAACTTATAATCAGTTGTGAAGTGAGAGTTAACAACAAGATTTATGATTTTAAATAGTACGATATTTATTATTTTTATTATGCTAGTGAACAAGCGTTTACGCCGTTTAATCCTGTGTCATAAAATTAAATCGACGTTTAAAATCACTTCAAATATCAATGCTATTATTGTGTTAATTAATCCTAGCTGACTCTGCTGAATGCCGCTCGAGTACCAGCACCTATATTCTGATATAAATTTCATTCATTTTATTTATAGACTCTTTTTCATCTGAATTATATTTCACCCTCATTAGCGTAATGGATTTTCATAACAATGAAACATGGAGTAGTCTCCGAAACGCAATATCAAAATCAGATTGTAGTAATTAAAGATAGCATTTGAGATTTTTTAAATGATGTATTGCGATGATTAAATCATTAAGTTTGATATTAGGTCAAAATAAAACGGGATTTAAAATATGTACAAATTTAAATGATATAGCATTAATTAGCTAATTAATTCTGAATTTCAAAAACAGTCGATTGAAATTAACTAAAACATAATTTTTTACACTTGATTCAAAAGAACTTATCTGATAAAATCTAATAAAATTTATCTAGTCAATTAATGTAAAGCTCTTTTGAAATTATGAGGAATATTTTATAGAAAGTTTGGTATTATTAAACAATTCGTGACCTAAATTTGTGCATTTTCAAGGTTTCATATGTGTTTCAGTGATATTTTATTTATTATGATATGTTTTCAGAGTAGTTATAAACAGATTTAAATTTCGTAATAATGTAATTTGTTTATCGATTTAATTTGTTTTTTACATGTCAATATGGTCATATGTCAAATGTTAATTCATACAATTAAGGTTGTTCCTCCGTAAGACCACATTTCGACAAATTTTGTTAATTTGTTTTTTTTTTTTTTTCGCAGTTTGATAATAACGTTTACTGTCCGAAATATTTCTTCTGTTTTCTGAGTTGAAGTGAATCAAGATGACTATCAAGCCTGTATATTTAACTAAAAATAATTTAAGCAGCTGTGTATTAGGGCTCAGTATAAGAAATAATTTGAGGTACAAGAACTTCAATTAAATAGTGGTGATCCTATTTAACTAGATTTTCTTAGTTCAGAAAACCTTATTTTTCTCTCAGTGAAAAATTTTTGAATTATTTAAAAAATAGCAACTTATGACTATAGCTGCTGGAAATTACGAGTTATGAACAAAAGAACTTTAGCTTAATGAATTTCCAATATCTATAATCACAATATACACTGAAAGAAATTTTCTTTAAAAATTACTGATCAATTCACGGTAATCATTGTAGTCGTGGGACAGATGACACGATCTAATCATTTTTTGGTAAGTGAGATAATTTTTTACCTTTTTTCAACAAATTTAACTGTAGTCTACCGTAAAATTTATTAGGTTTTCGGTAAATTTATACGAAGTCTACTATAAAATAAATTAAATTTTTTCGTAATTTTTATTTAAAAAATGGTAATAAATAAAAAGGCCGCATTATGTCTCACGATTACAGTGGATTTAACGGCAATTTTTAAAGAAAATTTCTTTCCGTGCACAGAAAAAAAGAATTATTTGTCTCAAATAAATCAATTTATTTGAGTCATTTTTTTAAATGTTTCTTTGTGACAACCATACCCGTACTGAAAAAAAATATATGCCGCATATACGGGGGCAAAAAAAAAGTATGTGGCGTATATATTTTATATGTGCGACGTATATGTATTTTTGCCAGCATATATGCGCATATATATTTTTTCAGTGTGGGTATATATTTGGTACAAGTAAATATAACACTTGACTTGAATTATTTTATTATTTGTCAGAAATATATCATTTATTTGTGGTAAAGATGCTAAGTTTATGGTAAACAATGGCATCTTTGAGGGTACCAGTCAAATGTTGAATTCTCAACTACTGCGCGCGCATATTCTTCGGACGTCACCCGAACTGACTCTCAAGTGACCGCCATGTTCATTAAAAACGTTTGTTGTTTTTTTTTTTTTATAACAGTGCGTATTATTGTATGAATTCTCAATTTTCAATTTTAAATAATTCATAATAGTGATCGAAGCGATGGAACAATTGTTAATTAATTGTTTAACTGTCGGTTTTAATGATCATTTAAAAGGATACATAGTAATATTACCTGATAAAAATACAACTGAAAAAATTTTAATTTTCAATATTAATAATTGTCTTCGTCCAATAAAAGTGCATGTTACAGCTGAAGGCAACCATATTATATCTAAAGGTGATTTGAATTTTTAATTGTATTTCTGTTCTAATAAAATAAATTTAAAATTATAAATTTTTTATCCGCCAGGGTATAGTAGTACTATAATAACCTAAAAATATGTACAATTAATTTTTAATATTTTAAAATATGCATTATTTGCGTCAACTATCATTTATTTACCACAAATAAATCATATCTTGACAACAAATAAATCACTTATTTGACGCAATTAAATAGCTCAAATATATCGTATATTTCTCACAAATAAATATTTATTTGGCCATATCCAAGTATACGATATCTTTGGCTCAAATAAATCTTATTCAGTTCAAATAATTCTTTTTTTCTGTGTGTATATTGTGATTATAAATATTGGAAATTCATTAACGAGGTTCGAGCGTGACTTATGAATCAAAATAATGTTAAAATTCTTTTTACTCTCAGTCTTCTCAATATTCGTTGAAATTCTTTATTTTAATTTAAAATAATTTGAACAATTTAATAATTGATGATTTTTACTTATTTAATAAAATAAAGTAAAAAAATGACAATCGTATTTATTACTTGCCGGATTAAATAAACAGATTTGGCAACAGCGCTTTTGATTATACCCATTACAGAATCGTGCATGAGTGTGTGAGTTAAATATTTCTCTCTCTATAACTATATGTCTATCCTTTTCTTTTTTCTCAGCTATTGACGCGACGATGCCAAATCTTTATTCGAATAAATAGCTGACGAGAAACGAATCAAAAACATAAAATTAAACTTTAAATATTTCAAAAATTATATCGGTAATGTATTATTGTTATTTTTTTTTTATATTTTACAATAATCTAAGTTTCTTGTGTATAGTTTTTTATTCGTTAAAGTTGGGAGGTTAATATTGAAAAAAATAATTAAAGTCTCGACTAAAGTTTGTCCGCCATAAGAGCCCGTGTGTAAGGAGATAAAAAATGTGATTTTTGAAATTTAATATCCAAGTAACTAAACGGTGAATCCTTTTAAAATTTTGGGATTAGATAAATGCCATATTTATTTATATGTATACTTAATTTCAAAGGTAAAAGTTGGAAATTATTTTTCATATTAGATTCGCTCGAGCTATAGTCACAAGTTGCTATTTTTTAAATAATTCAAAAATTTTTCAATTCATAACTGAAAAAGTTTTATTAAATTGACAACTAAAAAAGATTTACAGGAGACTATTCTATGCTTTTTGTCGATTCTAGGCACACATTTTTTTATTATAAAACAAAAATGTAAAATTTTTTTAAATCTTTAATAATATCAAAGAGGCAGCCAGAGGTTTTCTTTAACCTTTTTCCAGGAAGTTAATTTTTTTCTTATAAATGAACCTCAACTTTTGACACGCTAATGAGGGGTAATTCAGTGAATTTCCTCCAGTACTACTACAGGAAATAGTAATAATAATAATTCCAAGATATTCAGAACGTTTTAAGGCTCGCGCGCGTGCGGATTGTTGGTCTACGTATACGAAATAAATGTTGCGCTAATAATGTCTTTTTTTCGTGTGTATACGTGTTGGCCGTCATCAACTTTATCAGCAGCATTCGCTCTGCTTTTTCATCAGATTCAATGAGGTACCCTTTCGACGAGACGTAAGCAGTGAACTGTGGTTGTGTCGTGCTGTGTGATGGTTTTGGTGCCGATGGTGTCGGAGATGGTGCTCGGGTTGTTGGTTAGGTTGGTCATTGGGTGAATCAAGATGGTCAGGGATGTAGTCATCTTGACGAGTATGGGGTGGGGGCCGTAGTGTACCTTGGACCGGCGGAAGAAGCCGCTTGTCATAGCGCGTCGACAGCAGCAAATTGTCCAGAATTTCCTTGTCTGATTTTCCTTCCTCAAAGCTGCAACATATTCGTCAAATAACCAACATACCCCATCTCCCACCATAATATCAAATCCAATTAATTCTTTCCAATTGGCTTATATTTCAGTTTTTTTAGTTTTACCCGACTGCGGCTTCACTGGAACAATACCTTTATTTGTTCTTTCTTGTGTACATATACACACATATGTAAGTATACCTATTATATAGCGATACACAAGATTTGACCCACTAACAAAATATCTGTGACTACATACCCGAATTTTAATCAACTCCCGATAAAAGTAAGCTTAATGTAAGCTTTATACTATTGAGTTTATTACACAGAAAAAAAACTTACTTGTATGAAGTAAATAATTTTGACGAACTTCATCTTGTTGATTTGACTAAGAAAAATTCTTGGTAGTTGTCATGGTACAATATTGTCTGATACAGAACTGCAGAGAGCGTATTATGCAATTAACGTTAAATATCCAATTTTTAATTGAATTCATCTCGGGTTATAGGTGGTAGATCGACTTCAAATTTTTAGGGTAATTGTAACATCATGTCCTTAATAAGTATACAAAAATTTAGAATTTTCTGACGGTATGCTTTAACCACGACAACTACCTTAAAATAAGAAATTTTTTTTGGTTTAAGTATATTTTACTTGATTAGAAAATTTTTCGTCTTGATTCTAAACAGTGAAACTTTTCAAAATTATTTTCTTGGTTCAAGAATTTTTCATTTGGTTCAAGTTTATTTTTTATCTGTGTGTTGTATTATAAGTAAGGTGGCGCAAAAAATTGGCTATTTTATTTTCTGCTTATTTTATGAAAAATAGATTGGTTCATCCAAATTTGCATTGAAGAATTTAAATAGGACACTAAATGTGCGTAAAAAACATTATGTTAATTGATAGATATTTATCCCGTATTTATGAAAATCAAAAAAATTTGTAGAATTTAAAAATCGGCAATAAATTTTTGAAATTTATGTAATTTATAACCTTGATGGATAGTAAATGAAGAGAAAAAAAATGTTTAACAGTTCTAGAAAATTTTCATAAATCTTCAGAAAAAGCTCTTAAGGAGATCCTAATGAAGTTGTAATTAATATAATAATTAAAAAAAGTCTTGAAAATATAAAATCTGGAAGAATTTCACATAATTAAAAAAAAAAAATCTGAATATTTCCCAAAAATTTTCGTAGGATAAGATGGGACAGTATAAATCAATATTTCTTAAAAATAACTTCGGAAACAGCACCTAAAACTTTAAAATATTAATAATTACATGAAAAAAAGTAAACTGTAAAATTCACTCGAATTCCGATTAATTTTTACAGTATCAAACAGTACATCGGACATTGGGGTGGCACAAATGTAAATAATACAAAACTTATTGTAGAAAGTGTGAAAGCCACAATTTTTAATTTAATATCGAAAATGTGATTAGTAGCTATCACTTTCATATTAAAAGATAACAGTTTCAAACAGTAAAAATTGGCGTTTCAATATATATAGTCTATTCTAAGGGGAGGAGGGGAAGGTCTCACACTCGGAGAATTTAACATTTGAAACAGTAAAAATTCTACTTTTAAAATATATATTTTACCAGTCCAAGAAAATCAATAAATATAGTTTGATTTTTAGCATTGCGTTTAAAATTTACCATTTTACTTTGTAAATATTGACGTTGCTTGTATAGAAATTTAGTAACTGTAGTTTATATTTTTTACATATTATGCGATTATTTTTTAGGTACGAAATGATAAATATCAAAGTTAAAATTCTTAATTATTATGCTTTAACATTTTGGACTTTCACATAGCGAATATTACTGTTTGAAAGAGTAATTTCTTCCATGAAAATAAAAAATTTTAGCATTTAAATGATGAATAGTATAGTGATTGTTAAAATCACAATTTTACTGCTTAAAATTGTAATTTTTTTCCAGTTGATCATTACTTATTATAAAACGAATATCATTTATTACAGTTTACTTTTTTCCGTGAGTAGTTTTATCTTAATTTTAATTTCTTGAAATGCTCTTTATACCGATGAATAAAAAATTAAAATGGATGTATTAACATACTATTTTTATAATTTCATAATTTGTTGATTGAATCAGTAAAGTTATCTGTTAAAATATAATACAGAATTTTAATAATATGGTCTTGAAATTTTTCAGGATAATTTCGTTTAATGAGTTAAGAATAAAATAAATTTTAGTAAAGTTAATATTCCCGAAAAAAATTTTTAAAATTACTGAAAAACAAAAATTAGAATTATTTAAAATTTTAGTAATCTAAACAAAAGCAATTTTTTGTATTTTAATAATCTTTATACATTCAAAAAATTTTCTGAAAAGGAAATGACGAATGATGGTAATTGAAATAATTTTTTTTTAATTCAATAAAAAATATAATAAAAATTGAAATAAATTCCTCTTTGAAGAAATTAGACAATTAGTATGATATTTTAAAATTTTATTTATTATAGTTTACTTTTTTCCGTGTATTTTTTTAAATTTCATAATTTCACAAAATTTTTTAATTTTAAATCTAATTATAATTTACATGCTTTTTCTTCATACTATGCTATTTTTACTGCTAGACTCGTCATAAACATGATAAACAAACCTATTTTCACATGAAGCTTGAAAAAAAAAATTTTTTTTTTGCCCACTCTAAATTATCATTATAGATGATCGACCTGATGATAATCATTATAATTACGTACAATGATAATAATCATGACAATATTTAAATTTGATGTCGGAGATATTTTGCCGGTGGGTCAATTATGACAAAGCCGTAGGTAGCAATTAAATTACCTGTACAGTGTATTATTTCGATTCTACACCACTATATTAACCTTGCTTTGTTTAACAAAATATAACTTCTATATATGAAAATAATAAACTTTCGCAGTCGGGTTTATTAATGTCATCAATCACCACCAAAATTTAATATTGTTCTAAGAATTATTAATTTAAATCTATGAATGATTAAACTATAATCCATAATATATATGCATCAGTCTATATCTATTTTGTTCATTTGCATAAAAGTTCAATAACATTTTCCAACTAACTATAAATAACTCTAGTTTATTATCAAAATTTTGGTAAGTAAGTAAATTTTTTATACCAGTCAAATGAACTATATTGTAATCAGTAATCAGAATTAATATTAAATTAATAAAATGAAAATTTAATACATACATGTCTTCGGAGCGTACGAAGGTGGCAAAAGTGAGAGCTAGGGTGAGGACACAGAGGGTAGTGAATAGTAAGGAGCTTACAAGGGAGGCGAGAGACAGCGAGAGGATGGGTGATAAGCGGCTGCTACCACCCGCACGCCGCCCTAGCGCCACCCAACCCATTCTATGTCATCTGAAACACAAAACATTTATGATATTAAAGTCCATTTCATTTATAACACAAAGTTTAATCTCTTTGTTTTTATGTACTGGGACAAAAACTACTGTAACAAAACAAAAATTTTAAATTATCTCGGTTTTAAAAAATCTGTTCCAATTTTCATATCTGGCTATATATATCTTTACATGTATATTTATGAGACAAAAAAAATTTTATTATTTTTCAATTTTTTTTTTTTCTAGAAATGTGTACGTCACTTAACATGTCAAATTGAGTAAAATTTAAGTTGGTACCAATTGTATTTTTTTATTTTAATTACAAAAAATACTAAAATCCGAATAAAAACAGTTTCACTGTAAAAAAATCGCGCTAAGTCCACGTTCATAAGACTATTAAGAATAAAAAATTTTGTTTTCTTTACAAAAAGGTATAAAATAAAAAAATTAAAAAATCCGAGTAACCGATATGATTGTATATGATTTTCTGAAATTAGAAAAAATTTTGTTGTAAATTTAAAAATTAAAAAAAAATTTTTGGAACGTATTTAGTGTGCGTGGTTGCAAAATATTTTACTTTTAATGAAATTCGTGAATTCTATTTACTAGGACTTTATAAAAATTGAAATACACAATGACGCACACCAAGTACGTTTCAATTTTTTTTTTTAATTTTTAAATTTTACAACAAAATTTTTTTCTAATTTCGGAAAATCATATACAATCATATTGGTTACTTGGATTTTTTAATTTTTTTTATTTTATATCTTTTTGTAAAGAAAACAAAATTTTTTTTTTCTTAATAGTCTTATGAACGTGGACTTGGCGCGATTTTTTTACAGTGAAACTGTTTTTGTTCGGATAGTTCAGTAGTTGATTAAACTAAAAAGTAATATCTCACGGAAAGAATTTTATTGTACACTGAAAGCAACTTTCTATAAAAATTACCAGTAAATTATTACCAGTGAAATAATTCTTAAGTTTTCTTCAACAAATTTTACCGTAAATTTTCCATAAATTTTATCTAGCCTACTATGAAATAAATTAATTTTTTCGTAATTTTTATTTTTAAAAATGGTAATAAATTTTCTTATGAGTACGGTAAATTTAACGGTAATTTTTAAAGAAAATTTTTTTTGTATTATAGTTGTTAAAATTTATGCACTGGAAAAAAGTTTTCTGCTCGGCACCATCTATTGTACAGTAATGAGTGTATCGTTACGGATATAATCGGTACATCTACGAGTAGCAGTTTGGAGAGCGATCATCACGATCCATTCGGGCGCCATTTATGATACTATTGCTACCGTTAGTATACAATTTTCCTAACTTCACTACAGTTGAGATAGCAACGTGTGTAGAAAGAAAACTTTTTTTTTCAGTGTAAGGTATAGTAATTTTTGCAATAAAACGCGATGGCGAAGTTTTCCATCCAGATGATTAAGGTAAAAGCCCCAATAGATGATCATGTACCAGTATATGATATCACTCCATGTATTTGTATATCTATATTCACAAATATAGATATACAAATACATGGAGTGATTATGTACTGGTACATGAGCATTTATTGGGGCTTTTACCTTACAATTACAATTACAATCTAATGTAGTTAAATCTAGAGCATTTATATATTAAAAATCATACAATAATTATAAATATTAAATTTTTTCGATTAAGCACTGAAAATTAAACCTTAGGATATATTTTCAATTGAAATAATTTACTTTTTAGAAGTCTCACTTATAAAAAGCAGTAAATGAAATAAAAATGAAAGAAAAAAAAAACATCAACATAATCCAAAAAACAAGATGTATCAAACCTATTCATACGATAATTCTAAAAAAAATATATTTATTTTTAATTTTTTTTGAATGTAATAATTCATTTATTGATTACAATTCATAAGATTAATGAAAGATAAATTATTTGTAGTGAAAATTGAATTTTCTGAAAGAGTTTGATCTTTATGATGTTTGTATAATGGCTCTTAATATATGAATGCTAGATTTAACTACATTTGATAGTAAATGTAACCATCTGGATAAAAAACTTTATAATCGCATTATTGTAAGAATTACCATCATGTAGGGGAAGGGGGGGGGGCAAAGTGGGCCCCTTAAGGGAAAAAATGGTCATATCTGTACTTTTTTCTACTCTTTGCACTACTTTTTAGCGCCTTGGTTGTAATTCAACATTGATAAGCTGTGCCCATTAAAATAAAAAAATCTAGAATGTGAGGCAAAGTGGGCGCCCTCCAAAAATTTTGTTTTTCAATTAATTTTTCCTTGATCCCATGACGAAAATTTGTTCGAAACATTCTAAAAAAAATTCTTTGAAAATTTGAGCCTTCCAATAATACTATGAAGAGCTCGATCAAGGTGTGAAAAGATTTCCCATTAAATGATTTCCCAAAAAATATACGAGTAAAACTCGAGTTATTTCCTTAAATTTTCACAGCTCAGCAGCATTTCATAGCATTATTTCAATCAAAGATGGGTTATTTTACTCAGAATTGAATGCTTCACAAAACTGCCCATCGTGGAGTAATCGTAACTCATACTGGCAAAGGAGTATGGACCACCAAATCCAATTTTTTCATAAAATTTACGTTTTTCTGTCCTTTTTTTCCATTGAGAAGAGTTACGAAAAACATTTAAATGACTAACTAATAGTAAATTTGATTTTCTACAAAAAAAAATCCCGAGCACTAAATTGCTAACATCAATATTTCAGGAGATATTAACGTCTTAAATTTTTGTAGTTTTAAATTTTTATCTATGATCACTTTCACACGAAACTGTTGTTCTTGCATTATATATTATTACGTCTTTAACAAATTACTTCTTTTAAAAAATTAGGAGAATTACAGGAAATACCGGGTATTTTAGTTGTCAAATTGATCACTTTTGAACTCGATCCTTTTTGATTTGGCTGAAAAATTCTTGTTCTTTGCTACATTACCAAAAAATGTTTTTAGGATTTTTTTTCATTTTTTTGCTCAACCTAAGAAAGAATAAATTTAAAAATAATCGGTTGTTTATTCTCAAATAGCCATCACTTCTTTAAAAATTGATCATCCGGAAATGTATCATACAGAAAATTTTTGTTTTCAAATGTATTTTCCAAAAAAAAAAAGTACCATAAAATTTTCAAAGATCAACTTTCAGCGAGGTTACAGGCAAAAAAAATTCAATAATCTGCTATTTTTTAATATGACAAAGCGTGTAACTTCACTGCGAATGAACCTATTAACTTATTTCTTTTCTTTTAGTCTTTGTTACTCATTACCTTTCACAAAAAAGCAATATGACAAAATTTGACGAACTGTTCTTTTTATTTCTTTTTCCTACTTTTTAGAATCAATGACAATTTTTTTGTCAAAAACCACTTTTAATTATCATCAAAAGTATAAATGATTTATTATTCACCTTTTTTATAAAAAATTTCAGGGGGCCCACTTGCCCCTAAAATTTTGAGACCTTCTAAATTTTAGGGGGGCCCCACTTTGCCCCCCCTTCCCCTACATTGTGAAAGCTATAATACAAAGATCGTTGACCCTACCATAAAATTCTCTCCGTGTAAATAAACTCCTTTAGGGAATAAAAAATGATTATTATTCTAGAGCTTAGCACCTTAAAGCTAACTCTCTTGTAAGGAACCTCGCAATCATACGCCCTTCGTTGGAGATTATCAACAATTATTAGACATCATGGCTTCAATTAGACGTAATTAAAGCCATGTCAAGTCAGATTTGTCTTGATATAATCTATTAAACACATTTAGGGCCAATTTTCATATCAGGGTATAAATATGAAGCTATCAAACCATGTCAGAGACTATATAAGAAAATTTTTTTCGCAAGAATACTCTGAAAAAAAAAAATTAACTTGGACCAAAACAAAAAATTCTTGAACGAAGAAAATTATTTTGAAGAGTTTAATTGTCTTTTAATTGTCTTTTTTCATTAAAAAGATCAAACTCTTCAAAATAATTTTCTTGATTAAAGTGAATTTTTTTTCAGTATACTATTCGAATCAATCTATAAAGAGAAAAGTTTCATTTAATTCTATTGATCGTCATCGAAATTGCTTAAAACGTAAACAAGTTACTCAAAGTCAGACATCAAGTAGAGTGTAACAAAGAAAAAGAGAGAAACAAAGTAATCGGCTAAAATTTTCCTCAGTGTCGTATCCTGGTGAGTTATTATGTTACCAAAGTTCTTGAGAAATTGATGAAAGACTTAAAATGCATAGTTATGTATTATATATCAGCTGTAACTTGTATCTTTTGTGAAAGTTGCGGTGAATTCAGTGATGCGGAATTTTCTTGTAACCCTCGCTTGCTTGATACTGTGTCAAACAATTTACTTTAGCTTTTTGCTCGAGTTCATCTACCACACCAGATCACCGAGTCGAGTATCGAGTAATAGGGGCTATTTTTACGCTTGTTCAGATTACAACATTTTTATGGTTTCTGCTTTTAGTAATACTAATAATTGTGTTTGATAATGTGTATGAATAATGATTAGCTTTAACAAAGTGATGTTTTAACCTTCGTTGTGAAGACTTACAACGTTATGACGTGTTCTTTATTCTTTTTAGGTAGATTGATTTTGAAATCTGCCTGTTGCAGAGGTAGGGTAGGGCGGGGGTAGTTGATCGTAGGGGTAAGTTGTGCAATCGAAATATCTCGAAAACTAAGCAACTTTCAACAAAAGTGTAAATAGTGAAAAGAAAGGGTTACGAGAGGAGAACACATCGCGCGAAAGTCAACTGCCGTCCGATGTTTAGACTAACTAACAAAACGTTTTCTTTTTTTTTTTTGCGTCAAAAAAAAAACAGGTCTTTAGAATTTTTCTCCTACACTCGCTTAAAAATGCTATTTCGCGATCACAAAAGTATTCAAAGATGACTTAATGTTTGCCCTTTCGATTATATATGATTGTTTATTTTTAATTCTTATCATTCTTTTATAAGCTAACTTTTATTTTGTTGCCTCAATTG